TTATTTAACATATTTTGAAATGTCCAATGACTTATTTGTTTCAAAAAATTGTCCAATGACTTATTTAACATGTTTTGGAATGTCCAAGGACTTATTTGTTCCAAAAAATTGTCCAATGACTTATTTAACATGTTTTGGAATGTCCAAGGACTTATTTGTTCCAAAAAAAAGTCTAAAGACTTAATCATTCCAAACAAGAAAGTCCATTGGTTTTTATTGTACTTTTCCCTTTATAAAATCTCATCTCTCCTCTCTCTTTCCTCTCACCTCACCTTTGTCATCAAGACATTCCACCACCACCATCACCACCACCACCTATTCCTGTTACAACCCTAGATATACAAATAATGTAAGCACAATGTAAACACCACTGTAAACCATTTTTGTACAACCCTAGATATACAAATATTGCGATCACAATGTCAACGCCATTGCCAAAACAATTTCTTGTACAGCCCTGTGGTATATACTGTGAAAACAGTCTGCACACCACACTTTGGGCACAGCGTGCACACTCTATAAACGGTGGTTTTGTGATGGGATGACAATGTGCATATTGGCACAATAACGTCGTCACGAAACAATGTTTGCTTCTTCCAATCTACTTCAAATAGATGAATCTGGGTCCTTGACAGGAAATTGATAGATCTGAACTTGCAGCACCGGTCATCCGGTATTCCTCGTTATCCACGGGTGTCACCGACCTGAAACGTAAACTGGAAGAAGGGGGTGTAAGAGATCGTATATAAGCAACCAAAATGTAAGTTTCAAGATCATTAACGAACCTTAATAATGGTGTGGTCGTTGGATCTATGGTAACTGGAGGTGATCGTCGAATCTATGGTGTGGTGACCGAAGGGTGGTCGTCGATCTGTGGTGTAACCCTTAGTTTGGAGGGTGGTCATCGGATCTTTGGTATGGGACTGGAGGATGGTCGTCGGATCTGTGTTATGGTGATCGACTGAAGTTGTCGCTGAATCTGTGGTACCCAAAAGTGGTCAGGAATCTGGGTAGAAAAAATGCTGTGATTAGGGTTTGCAGGAGGAGAGAGATAGTTGACTATATTAAATATATTAAGTTGTTTCCTTATAAAATTACTAAATCACCTCTTATCATTAAATAAATTATAAAACAATTTATTTAAAATGAATGGTTTATATTAAATTTCACGGATCTTACAATTTATGAATTTCTTAAATGATTAAACTCCTAATATTAGGTGTGTGTATATATATTATTGAGTTCACATGAGACCATCCTATTTTAACGAGACATGTGATATCATATTTTTATACTTGAAACTTCATAGTAAAACATTGTAAAGGTAAAAAAAATTGAACCTTCACAGCAAAAACACTGTGAAGGTTACATTCACTGTATTTTGTTGTGAAATTTCAAGTATAAAAAAATGGTCTCACGGGTCTCGTGAAAACAGATGGTCTTGCATGATCCCAAGTCTAGATATATTGTGATAGAGTGTTAAGGGGTTGCCTTCACATGAGAACAAGTTGTTTTCGTGTGACCCATGAGCCACTTTTTTACATTTGACACTTCATATATAGCAAAATAATGTGAAGGTAACCAATCTAGTATCATGTTCAAACGAGAAGTATATCTATGTGTATATGTATATATATATATATATATATATATATATATATATAGGGTGATTCAAATACTAACTCATTTTTTTGTGTTAACTCTACTAACCAATATCAACCAATCACATTTTTTCTTTACTTTATGTTCAAATGTAAGTTATAAATTGAATACAAGGGTCATTTTGTAATTTGACCTTTATGTAACTCCCTAATAATTATTTGGGAGTTACAAATCTTTTAAGATCCCTCTAATTGATCATGAGGTAATTCCGATGTTCACGGTGTTCATGGTGTTCATATCCATGTAATGTCTATGAACATTCACCGTGTTCATATAAATGTTCAACGTGTTCATGCGATGTTTTTACAAAAGTACCATCTGAACCGTTGTTCATAGGCACCTCAATTAATATATTAATTAAATGATTATTTTTATAGTCTCATTTAATAAAGACCGTTTGATGAAAAAATGAACGATCAAGATCGGGTTAACATAGTTTGCACAATAGTTTTGGTTAGCATTTGATCTTACCTCTATATATATATATATATATATATATATATATATATATATATATTTACAAACAATTCATATTTCAAACTCAAATTGTTTAGTTAGGATTAAAGATTGATTAATGTGTGTATGTTTGATTCATTGAAGTGAATGGATCCATGTGGTGAATTAGTTGGTTTATATGTTTCGTGAAAAGTAGTAAAGAAGGAAATTATGAGGGTTTGGAAATGGAACTCTCAAAACATGCATATGCATAATGCATAATACATAATGCATAATTCATAATGCATGTGCATTCACTTTAAAGTGAACTCTTTATCAAAGGCTGCTGTTTCACGTGCATCGTTCCCACACATCTCATTAAACTTTACGAGCATTGTACCACTTTGCTCTTTTTTTATCCCCATGCCTCATCATATGAGGATGTTATGTATGTGATGCCTCAGATTTGGTGATACCATGCATTATTTAATACCAATTCTCCAAACTAGTAAGCCACTTGATATATTATATACGGAGGTCAGTTATTATGTAATTTTTATATTTGTATAACCAATATAATTTAATTTTAATCGTTTATTTAATTTTATGAATATGTGATTTCATAAAAGTTTTAATTGTTTTATAATATAAACTGTTAATCATAATTAATGAATCCTAGTTATCTTTTATAAATATTCAAATCATAGTAAATGAATTTTCATTATTTGCATAAATATCTCAATTGATTGGGTTGTATTGGTTATACAAAT